ATTTCACCGTTTTACATAAAACAATACTAATTGGATATTTTTTCCTTCGGAATACCTTTTATTTTTCATATAGCATTGTCGTATATGTTTTATTCGTTATAATATGAAATGCTGACTGACGTTTTTCATACTAATTGTTAGGCCATTATTTACACACTGAATTGCCGACGGATTTTCCGTTATTTCCCAATCATGACAAGAAGCACACGGCGGGTGTGACCGGTCTGCAGGGGATGCTTACTACTCCATGGCATTGATCCCACATCTGATGTCTTAGAGGTCCGTGTTTGCTCCTCTCTTATTTTGTAATGTTTAATGGACATTTGAGCTTGAATACTGTTTGTTATCTCAACATATTTCATAAATGCATTCGATTTACAAGATATTTGCGTAGGATAACTTCAACCTAGCACGGGTAATTTTGACCGCTGCGCCAATATAAACAAAATAATTTGCTTCATTTCAAAAATAAGAAAAATAATATTTATTCAAATTACTCTTGTCAAAAACATAAAAGATTGATAGAAGAATACAGACAAAAAGAGACGGTTACTTTCAAATGTGACTAAATTGACGATAATTGACGATAGGTAATTTACAAGTTCCATTTTATAGAAAAAGCTGTCAATGATTTCAAAAAGCGTAGCTTTCTTGGTGAATGATTGAATAAAGTGTTTTAAAGTCGTACGTTGATATTAATGATTTAAGTAAAATCTTGTGATTTCACGTTTTCTAAAAGTTCCTTGGAATATTAAGTAATAGGTATCCACATCTGATTGATACCACTTCTTGAATATATTGTTGTACAGTTCTTCTGAGTTCTCTCCTTTACTGCTGTTAATATTTAAGAGAAGATTAAAGAAAGAGGCTTGGTAGAACATTTACTGGAACCCGCTATGTATCTTTGTTTGTAATTAACATAACCTTGCTGTTCTGGAACAATTATTTCCCTGTGCACATTCATTTCATGAAAATTGATCTCCGATTATAGCCCCACCCAACCCTAACCCCGCGGTCCATAATTTGAAAAAAAAAAAAAAAAGAATTTACACAACTTTGCATAATAATATGATTTTATGATGGCCTTAATTTCTCTGGAAAAGATCTTTTCCTACCATATACCTTGTAAAACTCTGATTTCCTTTAGGAACCAAACCCTACCCCATGATTGAGAAAAAAAAATATCACCACCACCACCAACTGACATCTAGAAAACATCAAGATGCCTACACATTAAAAACACTATCATTGCTCTGCTGTGCTTAAGAATATTTACCCCTTTATATTCAAAGGTATAACTGATCTCCAATTGTGTCCCTACCCTACCCGCAAGGGCAGTGACTTGAACAAAATTAAATTGGCAATACACGAAAACTACGTGATTAATCATGTCCTTGCAGTTCTTCAGCAAAAAAATTAAAGATTTTCTCTCATATATTTCCCTTGAAAAATTTTGATTTCTTATTGAGGCCCCACACTTTTCCTGGTGATATGATAATAACCTAACCTTAAAAAGACTACTTGATGATGCTACCATTTTCATATGTTTAATGATGCTTTATTTTCTTTTCCTTTAGATTGTCCCCACATATTCCAATTCTAGAGTTGTAGTCAAACCCTTCCATCGGTTGCCATGATTAGAACAAATTTGAATAGACACTTCAAGAGGGTACTTCCATATTTCAAATATGACTAATTATGGATTTCATGTCATCATCAGATTTTTATATTTTAATATATTCTTCAGAAGAGGATTCTTAACATTATATCCCTTTTTTCCATTTCAAAGCAAATGATGAAATATGATCGCAATATTAGGCATTTTTACGGCTTTAATTTGTTTACAACACAGTCTGCATTTGTTGGAAAAAATGCACTTTAAAAATGTTTTAAATAAGTACTTTCAGCAAATAAATAACCAAGGCGGCACTTTCATGCACAAACAACGTAATTCCCATGCTTTGATCGTCGACACTCGTCATCAGAATGAATATTAAACAATTTCTTATTATTGATAAATACATGTAAATAAAGCATGTTTCCAAATGATTGTATATACTTAGAATGAGAAATCATACATCAATAAAATTTTGGGATGCACTTCCAATCTGGAAAAGATTTTTCTTACGTCATGTTTCCTTGTAAATCTCTGTTTCTTTTTAGGAACCCGACATACCCCATGATTGAAAAAAAATCTGAAATTTACACTACATTAGAATGCCTGCGTATAAATAACACTATTCTTCCCTTTATAATCAATGGTAAAATTGATCTCCGATTCATCTTCAAAGATAACCCAACCTAGTCGCGACCCGCAGGGGCAATGATTGGAGCAAACTTGAATAGGCAATACACGAGAATGTTTAAGAGGTAAGATACATAATTAATAATAGCCTTTTTCTTCTTCAGAAAAAAAAAAAAGATTTGAAAGATTTTATCTTGTGTATACCCTTGTGAAATTCTGATTTCATATCGAGACCCCACACTATTCCCTGATGCCATGAGGCATGATTTGAAAAAAAAAAAATGAATCTACACTAGTCAAAAAGCTTTCCTGAAGTTTAAACTTTTTTGGTCCCCTTTATTCTTCGGAAAAAGATTTTTAAAAACTTGCTACTTTAGTCTTACTTTTTTTTTTTTTTTAAAGATTTCTCCTAAAAAAGATCTTGGCTCTTCGAGCAAAAAAGAAAAAAAAAATTCATATATAGATTGGTGAGATTTCTGTAAAGGTCATTCTATAAATTCTCAAAGATTAAACCACGTAGACACAATTGCATATCTATCGCACCTTTTTCACTTAAAAACAGTTATTTGGAGATCAATCATGATCCATTCATTCCATCTTTAGTAGATAGTGTCTTTTACATTACAATGAATAAATTACCAGTTTTCAAGATTCAGGTAGATGTGTCGAAGAAAAGGGAAAAACAAAAAGCATGGAACTTTGCTGTTAAAAATTTAGAAGACTTGAGCAAGAATATAATTAGATTTGAAGATTCAAAAGTAATAAGTATTCATTATCTATAATGTTCGGTTTTCAATGCAAAATTGCTGACTTCTTCGGCAGCCGACGTGAATACTTACGTTTTATAGACACATTAATCACAAGGTTAATTTTACGGTTTTGAACATCAGTAACAGTAAGCGATATAACTCAGAAAGATTTAGATTAAAACTGTTGACAACCTGTATGTATCGATGAAAAGCTTTAGGGGTACTGAGGAAGTAAGTGGAGGCCGAGGGGTTGAACCCTATACAGAAATCAATAGTGATACTTAAATATCTGAAATTTTTTTTGTTTTTAAAAAATATATTTTTTTAATAAAATAACAATGTTCCGACGTAATAGTCCGAGCAACCTTCTGAGCAAAGAAAGGCGCTTGATATTTTATCAAATTCATTTTTTTAGCGAAAAAAGTGGAAATATGTAAAGAAGATTTATGGAACATTTTAGCGAAATTCACAATCGTATGTGGATATTTCAGCTAGAAAGTTCTGTCATATATACAGATAACTCCTCCGTTAGCCTTACTAAGTCGGTTGTCCAATCTTAAAAATGAGGAGAAGGATTTTTTTTCTGACAAGTCTTTATTAGAATTTGAAAATTGGTCAAAATTTTGAACATTTCAATTTGATACGGCTAATGTCTTAAATGTTACCTCTATGGCAAGTCATCCAAAAAATATCTACAAATAATACAAATCTATGAACATGGCATAAATCAGGGACCCCATCCCCCTCCTCTCGGAAATTCCAGAGATAGTTCGGGTGCCTAGGAGGAGTAACTTTCCCCTGTAGACCAGTCACAACCGTCGTGAGCCCTATGTATTGATCAGGTAGACGAACACTCCGTGATCAAATTCAATAGAAAAACAAAGACCTGACAATTTGTATGAAACAGATAAACCAAAATGCGATCCAATAATAGGTTATATTTGCTAACAAGGTGATATCTTTTTTGGGTATGTATCTAAATTCCACACTTTTGACCTATTACTCTCTACTAAGTTCACAGCAACTGTACTTCTAGAAGACATGTACAACGATGTTCGTTTATTTACCCTCTGTTTTTTGTTTCGGAGCTTGTTTAGTCCTGTATTTATAAATGTAGTTAGAGTCACTATTCTGCTGCCCATTGATCAATCCTTGCTTACTTATTTGCTGTTCCCTCTGAAAAATAAAGAAGAATCCGGTTAAATATATATCAAATTTTTACAGGTATCTATTTTTTGGTCCGAAAAAGGTCCACTTAAGTTCTCCAAGAAAGTCTTTGACACATTTAGAAATTCAAAATACCCTAGGCCTGATCCCACTAACCGAAGGAAGGTTATACGTTCTCCAATTCCTTTTAAATTATTTACATTGTAGGTCTATCTGATACCTCGTTCCAAGAAAAAGTAAGAATCCTCTGTTGTCATAAAGGATAATGAAACTTGAATAAAAGGCGGGGTGTTTGGACCTGTTGACATGAATAGAAATGGATACATGAACTAATAAATGAGAAAGATATAGTCTATTCCAATCAAGCTTAGAATTTCTTTGAAACTTTGAAAGTAAAATATGCTTTTAATTCATATACTAAGATTCAAAATTTCACTTAAAACAATTTCAGATGTCGGCGAAAGCCCTTTTGAAGACATTCCTTTTGCTGTTTATCAGTTTGATCGTTACGGTAATCTTTTTCTCCTCTTTAGGGATTACTGAGCACGTGTTAAAATATTATTCAAAATAATTCGCAATTAATTTTTCGCAGATAAATCTGATGTCCTTGCAAAAGTTTCAAATCTAAAAAAAAATATTTTTATATAATATAGATATTTTTCATTCCTTCACATAATTGCTAAATTGTCTTTCTAGATAAGTACATCGCCTATGATCTATAGATGTTTAGTGATAATGGACAATTACGACGACCAACAATGTACAGTGTACGACAGAGTGCCGAAGTTAAAAGTGTCCTCCCTCGGAATATGTGATCATGGCGATATCAAAGAATGGGCCTTCAGACTGCTACTAACAGTGTCTATGTTTCTTGCCTTCATTGTGGTTTTCCTTATTATCTTGAGTGGTTTCATGGTCTTTTCAACATCGAGCACACCATCATATCCAATCACAATTTTATTTGTCTGTGTAAGTATTATTCATTTCGGTTATTTCTTGCTTTAATTGAAATAATTAAGACACTTAATGTTATGAAGTATTCCTCATAGACATTAGGCATAACTTAATCAATTTCTTTTGTGCAATAGGTATTCGTTGTCATGGCGTCATTGACAATTTCAACAGCTTTTTACTATAACAACCTGATGAAGCAAGATACAAAGATACCCCTGTGGTAAGATCAAGTACTTTCTATTTATGTGAAGCCAATCAAAGCAAAATGTTTTGTCAATCATATACACATAAGTATGCATTAATGATCGTCCAGTCCTATTGAGTAACATTTTATTTTAAGCTCAAACCATTAAAGAAAATATTTCTTAAATTAAGCAACTTGTAAATAGATATTCTAACACAAAAAATATTTTTTTAGAACTTCAACACTTTGAAGTCAGATATGACATCCTCCCTTGTAACAAATTTCGTTAGCGATAACATCAGCAGTGTAAATGTGACGTCAAACGAATGGAACATGTTTTTTATCGACGTAAGTAAAATATGATTATTGACAGGCCGAGTAAAATATGTGAAAATGTCAGTTATTATCACTTTACAAAAAATATTGATATATTTAAGTCCCGCAATGAATATGACCAGGGCGTTTATTGCTTGTCATATCCGCCTTCTGTCCTTCTATACTTCTATCCTTTCACCCGTCACACTGCTTTTAGCTCATTTTCTAAAAAAAATAATTAAGATATATTAGACAAAATTATTACAATAATACATATTGGGAAGAGCTAGTCAACTGTGGCATAATTTTTTGGCCTTGACCTTATCTGTGACCTTGACCTCAATATTCCTCAAGCTCAGTTTCAAAGTAACAATTGCATTTATCTTAGTTTCAAAGAAACTGTTCAAGATATTTTCATCTAACTTCATACAAAGACACAAATTAATAAGATTCATTCAAATGTTCCAAAAAGTTTCTACTCTTGACATTCCACATGACCTCAATATTAATTGTATTGCGTTTACCATATTTTAAAAGAAACAGTCCATAATATTTACATCAAACTTCGTATTCATACACTTATACAATTAAGTTAGAGCTATTCAACTGTGCCATAACTTAATGTCCTCCCTATGACCTTTACGTCACTTTTGAAGATTCTTTAATCAAACTTTATGCGAAGTTACATATTGATAAGGTCAATTTATTTCTTATTAATTTTCGACCTTCCTTATCAAACTTGAAATTCTAAGATATAAAATAATGAGAGCCGTTCAACTACTTCATAATATTTCACCTTGACATTTCCAATGCCTTGATCTCAGTATTCCTTCATTTTGCAGTTACCTAAGTTGCGAAAATAGTGTTTAAGATATTTTCATCAAACTTTGTATACTGACAAAATTGGTGTCATTTTTACCTTGACCGTCTCTGTGACCTTGAATTTTATTTTTTCCCGACTTTTTTTTATTTGTTTGTCTTATATGATTTCATAAAGCATTACATCATAAAACTCAATATACCAATAACCCTTAACCAGGTTATATACTAGAGATTAAAATTTATAAAAAAAAATTGCTTAAAGGTCCTTGAAAGCAATGAGACTTCATTGAGCTGTTAGATAATAAATGGGTTTAATCAACTGTGTGTATTTCATGCTATAAAGGACAACAACTGTATTCTTACTTTCATATTGGATATCAGTTATTGGTAACCTAGTACTTAGGCACTAGCTTTGAAATACGAATATATATTTAACTGCTGTAGTAAAATTTGGAAATTTATTTCAAAATTAAGGATTATCTCCCTCAGGCATATCTCTGATCCTTCGACGTATTTGGCTCCAGTCTTTGGCACCTTTTTTCAGCTCTTCCAAGTCTTTTTTATTTTTAAAAATATTTTGGATTTCCAACGTTTCGGCTTGAGCATCACTGAAGAGACATACTTTGTCGAAATGCGCATCTGTTGCATCAAAATTGGTACCGTATATAATTTACATTTCATCATTTTTTTTTTACTTTTAACTCCTATCAAAGAAGGATTTTTTTTCATGCTGCAATACAAATGTACCTCATGCGGGGCATTCATGCCCTACTGACATATTTCTAGTTAGTATATATTTCCATACAATATTAAATTTTGAAAGACATTGTAGCCTTTATCTGGGAGCACAAATATGATTTTATGGAATTTGCTAAACTGTATTCATTGCTTTAACTAGTCGTAGTAGAAACCCCTGCTTCCTTGTTCTTTTGCACTAATTAAACCAGTTACATTTATTAGATATATACATGTTAATTATGAAAATTAAAAAAAAAAAAACACTTTTGAATGATACCCTTCATTTGAGAAATGTTATCTGTTCTTTCTGTTGTTAAGCACAAATGTTCTGGAGTGAATCCAGTTATCGGAACGACAAATGATTTTGATACCAGCCCTTGGTGTACTAAGCAAGGGTCATGTATGCAGACAATTTCCCAGATCCCTAAATCATGTTGTTTGGGTGCAACTAAGGACAACTACCAGTCAGTCCCGGCCTCTTGTCACAGCAGCGTCGCCGATAGCTTTAATAGAAAGGTATGCATACACCCCCCCCCCCCACACACACACACACAGAGAGAGAGAGAGAGAGAGAGAGAGAGAGAGAGAGAGAGAGAGAGATTCAAAGGCATTTCGTGTATATTTCCGTAAAATTACATTAGGGCTGTCTAGATGCTATAAAAGAGAAGATAGAAGAGAAGAGAAAACAGCGAGCTGTGGATATAGACCATGTTCTCCCTGAAGGACTCCGTGTTTTACTGATGATGGTAATGTTGTAACTTGAATACTTAAATTTAATTCCATGCCTAGTTTTAACGAAAAATAATTTACTGAAACGAAATTATACACTTTTTTTCAAACCAGCATAGTTTGTGGGATTGTTGATTTGGATATACAAATTCAAATACCAGGATCGATTGTTTTCATGAATCATAGATGTGGAAAAAAAACTCTTAGCATTTTGTTAGCTGCAGAGCTGTGGCGTTATGGAATTATATTTTAGTTTTTAGTTTTTTGATCATAACGCTTCAGATCCCGTACTGCAAATATGGTGCAATTTACGGCGCAGATTTGGGGAGAAATTCTCCACTTTCCAGTATTGGTCAATCAACTATTTCATTCCTTAATTCTAGAAATATTTTATAACCAACCTGAATATTTTATCCACCTTCTAACCCTTTATAGTCGTCGTTACAGACCAATAAACTCGCTTGTAGTAAATTTGTTGTTGGATATCAGGAATTTTACAACAAGCGAGTTTATATGCTGCAGAAACGACTTTAAAGGGTTAGGAGGTAGATAAAATATACAAGTTTGTTATGAAATATGTCTAGAATAAGGGAATGAAAGGTAGTTGATTGACCAATGCTGGAAAGTGGCGAAATACATCCTCGATTGTGCGCAGAAAATCTTGCGCCGTAAATTGCACTTTATTTACATTAAGAGATTTGTAGCGTTATGGTCAAAGACTAAGATATAAAACCCTAACGCTACAGTTCTGCAGCTAATCATTTTGAATGTTTATAAATGTTTGTGCAGAAATCTAACCTTTAAGGATTACATTTCTTTTGATTTTACAGGTTGTATGTTCTATTATTTCTGTCTTCGAAATCTTTGTCAATCATTGTGGTCATCGAGTAATAGAGGAACAAAAAATTAACCCCCATTCCTGAGAAGATTTGAGTGGTTACAAAAGATACCTATTGTTCTCCTTATAATTTTGTGTTTATCTTCAAGTAATCTTAAAATTGCAATCCGATGGCATACATTTTCTAAGCTTTTAGCAGTATTACAGACACATTAAATACCTTTATTCCCTTCCCAGCGAGATCACCGCTTATGTTGATACTCAGTTTAATAAAAAGAACAAAAATTGGAAAGTCGATGTTCTGCATTTTTGAAATGCTAATTGTTACAAACTTTCTGCCGCCCTCTCTCTCCCCCCCCCCCCCCCCATATGCAGGATAAATTATGTTAACATGCAACATAAGTATGGATACATGCGACTTTTTTATGTCAACATGCAAAAAATTATGTTGAGATGCAAATTTTCAATCTCTCAAGAGAATCTGATTTTAATATTGGTAAACTTACTAACGCCGTTTTATGGCATCAGACGAACAAAATATAACAGGATAATGTTGACATGTGACTAATTTATGTCAACATGAAAGATAATTATGTAAACATGCATTGTTTTATGTCAACAATTTATGTTTTTTTATGTCAACATGCAAGATAATTATGTTTTAAAACATGCAAGATAATTATGTTTTAAAACATGCGAGTGAATTATGTAAACATGCGAGATATGTATGTAACATGCAACTTATTATGTTGGCATAAATATCTTGCATGTTAAAATGTAACTTGCATGTTGACATAAATAAGTCGCATGTTGACATAAATAAGTCGCATGTCTACATAATTATGTTGCATGGTAACATAAGTAAGTCGCATGTCAACATAATTCTGTTGCAGCTTTATTGTATGATGTCATTTACTTGCCTATGAAAGGAAGTATACCAACATTAAAATTAGATTCTCAAAAACGAATGGTAACTTGCATGTCAACATAATGATTTTGCATGTTGACATAGTTATCTTGCATGTTGACATACTTTTCTAACATATGTTACAGTGTATGTTATGTTAACATAATTTATTTTGCATGTAGGCGGTAGAAATATGCCACATAGGTTACGTAATTCAATTTGGAATTTTGAGCCACTGAATAGAAGAAGGATGTTATATATACATAGTATTTTAATGGTAATGGGGAAACCTGGATAACAAGAATTGAATATTCTGCACCTTAAAAGTCTTTTGAATTCCAGAGGTAAGTCTATCTTAAAACCCATCTAAGAATATCGCAACCTCTGGTATGTAAAATCATAATTCTAAATAATGGTTTCTCGATATTTAAGATTTGACAATTATATATTACCGCTAGCAATAACAACACTTCAGATACAAACCACCAGGAATGTTTACATTGCTTAAATTATTATTCAGTGTACATCAGATTCTTATTTTGATAATTCAGGGAATAATAAAAAAATGATACTAGGACACAATGGATAATTCAGACCATTCGAGTGTATATTTGCAGTACAGAATCCTTGAAAATCCTCTAAATATAAGTGCATTGATCTATTTTAAGGTCTAATACATTTTACAACACAATTTATGTTTTCATATACAAGAAACTGGCTTATACAATGTACACTTTACTATTTCTGACCCTTTGTTATCTGCCTTATACCTACATTATAGTGTGACCTTGAAACAGGCATTTGCAGTTCCATATGAAATATTGAAAATACGCCCAAGGTCATGTATTATGACAGGGTTTTTCTGTATAAAAGGTAAATTAATTTTTAAAAAAAATCAGTGGAGAGAATAATCAATCCTACGAAAGCCCAGAAAGCTAACTCGACATTCGAAATACGAAATTCGAAATGCCAGATGAAAATTCGAGATTCAATATTTAAAGGAAACGCTTAGATGGCGGATGTAGATTAAGTATTCTCCCCTTTGCTAAGTTGACCTTCAAAAAATCGATGTACAAATTTATAACTAAAAGGCCGTTTGATTGAATAATAATGCAAGAAGGAATGTTATAGTATCATATTTTTGGGGTTGTGAATATAAGCATATTTTGTCCATGTAAACCCAAAATTCATTTTTTTTTCTGTTGATGCATATAACATTCTTTCTTACATTATTATTTAATCAAATGACCTGATAATTATAAATATATGCAACGATTTCTTTATAGTCATAACTTAGAAAAGGGGAGGAGGATTGAATATTGATTCCACCTTCTGATTGGTTAATTGAGATATTGAATCACGAAACTCGAATTGCGATTATCGTATTTTGAATCTTGAATGTCTAATTAGCCTTCTGGGCTTTCGGACTATCCTCTTTATCAACCTTTCCCCTAAAGGATAACTATCTAAATACATGTAAATCTACAGTAGCAATATAAAACACTTTATTTGAAGTTTGGTGATTGACCAAGTTCTGTTTTTTCGGTTATTTTTTAAAAGATATATTTTGCAAAATTTAGAAATAACAAAATTATACCTTTTTTTATATTCCTGTTATAAAAGGAATAAATTCTACTGTCTACATTTCGTGAGGAGGCATTACACATTTACTGAGAATAATTATTTCTTCTGAATGTTTTTCACGCCAAACTTGGCATAATTGTTTCTGCTAACGTAAAAAACTGGTATCTGTGCATTTCCAAGCACAATTAGGAGCTCATCATATTTTCAACTTGAAGATAAAGCACAAAGATGTATAATATCTCCTAATTGAATGTACAAAAGTTTAAACCTTGATTAAGGGAATTGTCAAAGAAGAATATCTTAAAAGGTGCCAAAAGATTTTTTTTATTGGATTTAGCTTATCTAAGCTAATAATTCATTGAGATTTTCTGATCAAACTGTTCTTTCGTCTTTGTTTGTACAATTTTTGCTGATCACGTCGCGTATTGAACGGCCAGAATTAGACGCTTCTAACTATACAATCATGTTTTATAGATTTAATTATTTAACAAATCTTGTCTTCATCTGCATTATAACGACAACAGAATGTTCGAAATGCAGAAAAAGGTTATATTGATTGCATAGAAATAATATTATTGCATAGAAACACCCTTTTAATTAAGAATATCAAAGTAAAAATCTAAAACTATCATATATTTTGTACATAAGGTGAGAGATCCATGATCAATCATGGAAAACGTCCCACATCTGTAGCTGAGCTTCTTCATTTCATTAAAAATGATATTTTAAACACATATGATTGTGTTTACGAAAACATTACACTCTGGTACACCCTATTAAATTAAGAAAATTAATGGAAATTCATCATCAAAGACATTTATTTCAAGTTCAAAAAACCTGCAGATTCCTTTCATTTACAACATCTTGACCTTAATACAGTGAAATGTGTCAAATCCGGAGGTTGTGTGTTCCGAAATCTTTCCTAATAAGACCTAAACTTAAAGTCCTTTTCAGAAAATGTTCATTGTTTAAATGTTGCCATATCTGGAATGTTGTCTTATCCGGCCAATATCTCTGGAACCAGTGGTGTCCGGATAAAAAAAAAGTTTTACTGCATGTTCCCACAATGAACAAGGGTGTGTCCACATTAGAGGTCAAACTCAAATTTAAAGACTTCTCAAAATACTATTTTAGTAATTTTCACAGAAAAACAATTTTACATATCTAATATTTACTTTTGATATCCAGGTGGTGTGTGTTCATAATTTTCGAAAGCTTCTTGGATTAACGTAAGGCAAGCACAAGACTAAATCATTTTCATTGAAAATAAAACTGCTTCCTCAAAAACAAGGTTACACATGGTCGAATTGTAAATCTTACATCAAAATTTGTGCATTAGATATTTTAAAAGCATTGACGTTCATTTTATGAGCACAACACGATTTGCTAGAAAAATATATATGACTCCTAGGTAAAAGTTGTCATTCAATAATGAATGAATTTGAATTACCATACCTTTACTGGATTCCTAAACTTCATAAAAATCCTTCTTTGAATATTTTTGATATTCCAAACAACCAAAATGAATTTGAATTACCATATCTATATTGGATTCCGAAACTTCATAAAAATCCTTACAAAGATACAAAGGGGGTTTCAGTAAATGTTCAACCAAGCCTCTTTCTTTTCTCCTCACTAAGATATTAACAGTTGTGAAGAGGAAACTTCAAGAGTACTGTGCAACAATATATTCGAGAAGTAGTGTAAACAGATGTGGATACTTAAAAATTCCAAGGAACTTTTGGAAAATTTGAAATCACAAGATTTTACCAAAATCAACAGCTTTAAAACTTCCGACTTTTCAACTTTATACACAACCATTCCCCACGATAAAAAAAAATCCAGGCTTTTTGATATAATTGACAGCTGCTTTTTCAATAAAAATGGAACTCGTAGATTTACTTACCTTGCCTTTGGTCATTTGCAAAATCATTTTGTTAAAAAACATTGTGATTGTACACACAAGTACTCTGAAGTTGACATTGAAAAGATGCTTGAGTTTCTGATTGACAATATCTATGTGGTTTTTGGAGACCAGGTCTTCCAACAATTTATTGGAATTCCGATGGGTACCAATTGCGCCCCGTTATTAGCAGACCTTTTCTGTATTCATATAATCAGAATTTGTCCAAAATCTTATACGTGATAAGAAGAAATCTCTCTATGTTGCCTTCAACTCGACATTTAGATATATCGACGACGTATTGTCAATTAACAATTGTTATTTCCATTCTTATGTCGATACGATATATCCTGGTGAGCTTGAGATAAAAGATACTTCAGAGTCTGACACATCTGTTTCATATTTGGATATGTTACTTGAAAAAGACGTTAATGGTAATCTAACAATCAAGCTTTATGATAAACGTGATGGCTTCAACTTTTCAATCGTCAACTTCCCTTACTTATGCAGCAATATACCTTCATCACCTGCATACGGGGTTTATATCTCTCAGTTGATTCGATACGGAAGAGCATGGTCTACGTATGTACAATTTCTAAAACGAGATAAATTATTGACAAACAAGTTGATGAAACAAGAATATCAGCAGTCTCGTTTAAAGTCATCATTTCGTAAGTTCTATGGTCGATACAATGACCTTGTCAGCAAATACAATTTATCATTGTGTCAAATGCTGACTGACGTTTTATCATACTAATTGTTAGGCCATTGTTTACACACTGAATTGTCGACGGATTTTTCCGTTATTTCCCGATCATGACAAGGAGCACACGGCGGGTGTGACCTGTCGGCAGGGGATGCTTACTCCTCCATGGCATCTGATCCCACCTCAGATGTTTTGAACCTGAATACTGTTCGTTATCTCCATATATTTCATTTGTCAAAAAGCACTCTGATTGTACACACAAGTACTCTAAAGTTGATAAAAAAAAGATAAAAAAAAGATGCTTGAGTTTCCGATTGACAATATCTATGACAATATCTATGTAGATTTTGGAGATCAGGTCTTCCAACAATCTGTTGGAATTCCCATGGGTACGAATTGCGACCCCTTATTAGCAGACCTATTTTTGTATTCATATATATGAAGCAGAATTTATTTAAAAACTTCTACATGAGAAGAAGAAAACGCTTGCTGTGGCCTTCAACTCGACATTTAGATATATCGACGACGTATTATCAATGAACAATAGTTAATTTCATTCATATGTCAACTCGATATATCCCTGTGAGCTTGAAATAAAAGATACCACAGATTCTTACACATACGTTCCATATTTAGATATTTTACTGGAAAAAGTACGTTAATGGTAACCTAACAACAAAGCTTTATGATAAACGTGATGACTTCAACCTTGTGATCGTCAACTCCCCTTACTTATGTAGCAATATACCCTTATCACCTGTATATAGGGTTTATGTCTCTCAGTTGATTCGATACGCATGAGCATGCTCTACGCATGAACAATTTCTAAAACGAGGCAAGCTATTGACAAACAAGTTGACAAAACAAGGAGATCAACAGTCTCGTTTGAAGTCATCTTTTTTCGGTCGATAGAATGGCCTTGTAAGCACATACAACCTATCAATGAGTCAAATGCTGACTGACGTTTTCCATACTAATTGTTTCGCCATTGCTTATACACTGAGTTGTCTACGGAGTTTTTCGGTTTTTGTATCCTGATCATGACAAGGAGCACACAGCGAGTGTGACCGGTCGGCAGGGGATGCTCACTCTTCCATGTCACCTGATCCCACCTCTAAATTTTGAGGTCCGTGTTTGCTCTGCTCTAAATT